GGACCCCATGGGAGGGGCGGGGGCTGCGGGGTCTCATTAGAGAAACTGAGGCCGGTTCAGTGCTCCAGCAGGGGTCGGGGGGGAGGGGAGGGGATTGGCCATTACGCGCGCAGAGAGAACGGAATTAGGGGGTTGGGGTAGCAAATGTGCAATGATCTGACCCCTTGGCTGAAGGGCAAAGAACCTGGCGGAAGCAGGGGCTTATGGGAAGTGTAGTCCCAGCCCTGGCTCTTGTGGGAAATGTAGTTTTTTAAAAATATTTTTTTGCCCTCGCTGGTTTGCTCACTGGGTAGAGCATCAGCCTGCGGACTGAAGGGTCCCAGGTTCGATTCTGGTCAAGGATCCTTGACCAGAATCTTGGTTGCGGGCTCATTCCCAGTGGGGGGTGTGCAGGAGGCAGCAGATCGATGTTTCTAACTCTCTATCCCTCTCCCTTCCTCGCTGTAAAATATCAATAAAATATATTTAAAAAAAATGTACTCTTAAGATGAAGAAGAATGTGATAATTTCAGAGAGGAAGGGAAAGGGAGAGAGAGAAACATCAATGATAAGAGGGAATCATTGATTGGCTGTTTCCTGCACGCCCCCCACTGGGGATCAAGCCCACAACCCCTTACCTGTGCCCTTGACCGGAATTGAACCTGAGACCCTTTAGTCCGCAGGTCGACGCTCTATCCACTGAGCCAAACGGGGACGGGAAGTGTAGTTTTGGTTCATCCAAAAGGGAGACGCGGGTTAAGCATTTCCCGGGGAGGCAGAAGCGGCTGGATGAGGGTAAGCGGAGCCGGAGCCCGCTGCCAGGGCCTTTGAAAGTGTTGTGGGCAGGATTTGTGAGTCCCAGGGAGCGGCACAGGTGGGGTTATCGGCCTAACTCTGTCCCTGGCTCGCTATGTGTTCATTATTCACTCAACAAACAGTTATTAAACGCCTGCTACGTGCTTAGCCAGGCCCTGTGCCAGAAGCTGGGGTGCAGCAGGAAACAGTCAAACCAGTTCCCTGCCCTCCCTGGGGTGGGGGTGTCACAGGGGCTCCCAGAAGGTCCGCTGGAGACTTTCAAACTATGAGCAGTGAGCATTGCTGAGGTGTGACCTCAAGCTTGTGGGTTGCGACCATATTTTTGGAATAATAAACTACAACAAACGAGAGCAAATTCGCTGTAGGGGAAATGTCCATGTATGGGAACTTTTATTATTATTTTTTTAATAATATGGGACGCTTTGCCCTGACCGGTTTGGCTCAGTGGATAGAGCGTCGGCCTGTGGACTGAAGGGTCCCGGGTTTGATTCCGGTCAAGGGCATGTACCTTGGTTGCGGGCAACATCCCCAGTAGGAGGTGTGCAGGAGGCAGCTGATCGATGTTTCTCTCTCATCGATGTTTCTAACTCTCTATCCCTCTCCCTTCCTCTCTGTAAAAAATCAATAAAATATATTTTAAAAAATATGGAACGCTTCCCGAATTTGCGTGTCATCCTTGCGCCGGGGCCAGTCATCTCTGTGTGCGTGCTGCCGAAGCGAGCACCGGACTTTTATTTCTGACGGGCCCCTTCTGTGTTCTGGGGGCCAGATGTGTTCTGGATTGGGGGCTTTTTAGATTTTCAATAAGGCCATAGGAACATATATTATATATTCTGAGGAGCCCTAGTGTGGTCTGGGACAGCCTGCATGGCATCCGACACTTTACTATTTCTGTGGTGCCATCTACGGACAGGGGGATAAAACATTTAAGACTTAAAAAAAAAAATTTAAGACTGTGTGCCTGTTTAGGTCAAATTCTGTCTGCCTCCAGACTTATGATTAAATTTTCTGTTTCCACAGACGCATAGATTTAGAGAACAGATGGATGGTTGCCAGAGGGGAGGGGGGCTGGGGGACTGGGTGGCGGTATTAGACCCCCAGAGCAAGCAGATGGGCCAGGTACAGAGACTCCCCAGGGCAGAGAGCCCCGGTTGCCTAGCAAGGGGCAAAACTGGGAAAACAAGAACCTGGCCCCCAGGGTAACCGGTCCTCCCCTAGCACATCGCTGGTCAGGCGGGTAGGACCCCCTGACCTTTTCCTCCCTAAAGATAACATCTGGGCCTCAGTTGTATTTCAGCTCCAGGCCCAGAAAAGCAGCAACACCAGGCAAGTGAGGCCACGGCTGCCTCAGGACCAGCTGTGTAACTAATGACCCCTCGCCCCTGAAAGCAACCCCTTGCACCTGGAAAATGGATGAATGCGCTATTAAGACCCTCCCCTCAGACCTCCCCTAAGATCGCCACCTGCAAGAGCAAGAGAAATAGGCTCAGGACCGAGGACCCCGTGTGCGCTCTCTCTCCAAGGAGCATGCCCATGCCGTTCCCCAACTGGCACGCACCCCCCAACCTCTAAGGGACCCCACGAGACTTGCAACCAGGGGAGCAACGGGCATTGGCAGCTTGCCCCGGGCGAACCCCCTGAACCTGTCTCCAAGGCCCCCCTTTTCTCTGTGTAGCCCTTCTCTTTGGGCATCCCCATTTCCCATCCTCTTTTCCTAAACTAAGTGCAATTTTATTTATTTATTTTAATTTAATTTTTTAAAAATATATTTTTATTGATTTCAGAGAGGAAGGGAGAGGGAGAGAGCGATAGAAACATCAATGATGAGTGAGAATCATTGATTGGCTGCCTCCTGCAACCCCCACACTGGGGACCGAGCCCGAAACCCAGGCATGTGCCCCCGACCAGAATCGAACCTGGGACCCTTCAGTCCACAGGCCGATGCTCTATCCACTGAGCCAAACTGGCCAGGGCTGCAATTTTTTTTTTAAAATCACCACCTGAGATGGCTATTTAGCCTGCCCGCGCACCACCGACTTGGATCTTTCAGAAGAGATTAACAAGCACAGATTGGTAGTGTCAACCACTGGCACCAATTCAACACCAACAGGAATCCCCAGTTTGGGGAACAGCGAAGGAAGAAACTTTATTCCGTGCAAAACAGCTCAACTGTGATGCAGCACAGCTGTGAGGACCGCACTGCCATCGGACAGCTCACTGGTGACACAGCAGGGCTGGGAGGCAGCCCTGGGGCCGGGTCCCTCGCCAGCTAGACAGGACCTCTCTGCTCCATTTCAGTGTTTCAGCTCAGCCAGGGAGACACAGTCCTCGGTGGAAGGGGAAAATGTGGTCTGAGAGCCACAGGGGAGCTGGCTTATAAGGGCAGAAGCCCCTGCTCCTGGTCCTGATTGGTCTGTCTGCATGCAAATGAGGGCTACAAATGCTCATGGTTTGATTGGTCCAAAAGGTCAGCATGGCGCTGCTCTGATTGGTCAGTGGAGATGTCGATGGGGCTATAGCAGTTCAGCACTGAGTGGAAAAAGCCTCAGTCCTATTGGTTGAAATAGCATTTCAGGAACTGGCTGGCGCTCAGGGCAGAAACACAGTGCAGGCAGGCGGTTCGGTGCCGGCGTCTCCCTGGAGCGCAGTTCGCCGGAGAGGCCCCTGTGCAGAAATGGCTGCTGGGCTCTGTTTTTTAAATTTGAGCCCAGTTAGCCACCAGGAGCCCTTCTTAGTAGGTGTCTTCCTTCTCAGGGTCCACATTAGTTATAAAATAGTCACAGGGATGTAAAAATAGGGAATACAGTCAATCATGTTGTGATAATTATGGATGGCACCAGGTGGGTACTGGAAATGCACTTTGTAAAATATATGAGTGTCTAATTATAGGCTGTACACCTGAAACTAATAAAAATTAATATTGAGTAAAAACTATAATTGAAAAAATAAAAAATAACCTTTTTGTTTTTGGAGCTTTATTGATTTAAAAACAGTAGAACTGCCCTGGCCTGTTTGGCTCAGTGGATAGTGTCGGCCTGCGGACTGAATAAAAATGAAAAAACAACAACAGTGGAACTGTCGATCAGCGGGTTTTCAAAGTGTGGTTCAGGGTCCCATAGGGGTCTCCAAGACCCTGTCAGATTATTCGAGAGGTCAGAATTGTTTTCTTCTTTCTTCTTTTTTTAAATATATATTTTTTATTGGTTTCAGAGAGGAAGGAAGAGGGACAGAGAGAGAGAAACATCAATGATGAGAGAATCATTGATCGGCTGCCTCCTGCATGCCCCCACACTGGGGATCGAGCCCGCAACCTGAGCTTGTGCCCTGACCGGGAATCTCTGTAAAAAATCAATAAAATATATTTTAAAAATTATAAAACAACAACAGTGGAACTGTTGGTCAGCGGGTTTTCAAAGTGTGGTTCAGGGTCCCCTAGGCCCTAGGGGTATCCAAGACCCTGTCAGATTATTTGAGAGGTCAGAATTGTTTTCTTCTTTTGTTTTTCTTTTAATATATATTTTTATTGGTTTCAGAGAGGAAGGGAGAGGGACAGAGAGAGAGAAACATCAATGATGAGAGAATCATTGATCGGCTGCCTCCTGCATGCCCCCACACTGGGGATCGAGCCCGCAACCTGAGCTTGTGCCCTGACCGGGAATCGAACCGTGACCTCCTGGTTCAGAGGTCGACACTCAACCGCTGAGCCACGCCGGCCGGGCAGAATTATTTTCATACTAACACCGAGACGTTACCTGTCTTTTTCATTCTCATTCTGTCATGAATGTTCACTGGAATTTTCCAGAAGCTACACAGCATGCAGCATGGTGACTAACACAGAAGCAGCTACAAGGGATCCAGCTGTCTTCTATCGAGCCAGACAGTAAAGAGATTTGCAAAATGGCTTTTAAAAATGCCACTCTTCTCACTAAATGTTTGGTCTGGAAAAATTATTTTTATTAAGATTGTTTTAAATGTTAACTGCACTCAGCTTATTATTTTTTTAAAATTTTAATTAAATCTTTATTGTTGAAAGTATTACATGTCCCCCTTTCCCCCCATTAACCCCTTCTAGCCCACCCCCGGTCCCCTATCCCAGACTTTCATCACCCTATTGTCTGTGACCACGGGTTATGCACATATGCATGCAAGTTCTTTGCTTGATCACTTCCAAGTGTCTTTTTAAAATGGGGTTTATTTTTCTTTGATGATATATTTCAACTCACATTTTATATTTTCTGAATGAGTAATCTTGGAGGTAAATGCCCTTTATAAGTATGGATGACAAGCAGTTGAATAGACGAAACTTCTAAAGAAACCATTTTGCACCTTTTAAAAAAATTTTTAAAAACTTCTTTCTAAATGAAAACTCACCCACACATTCTTATTTTATGTTTTTGGATTTTTAGATTGTAATTGTACCACAGCTTTTTTGTCCACTCATCTGCTGATGGGCACTTGGGCCATTTCCAGCTCTTAGCGATTGTAAATTGTGTTGCTATGAACATAGGCGTGCATACATTCTTTGATTATTATTGCTAGTTTAAATGCATTAATAAACAAGTATATTTAAAATGTATCAGTTTTCATTTCTAACATGTTGCTAGATATAACTCACATAAACGATAGCCCTTTCCGCCCTAGCCGGTTTAGCTCAGTGGATAGAGCGTCAGCCTGTGGACTGAGAGGTCCCAGGTTCAATTCTGGTCAGGGGCACATGCCCAGGTTTCGGGCTCGATCCTCAGTGATGGGTGTGCAGGGGGCAGCCCATCAGTGATTCTCTCATCATTGATGTTTCTCTCTCTTCCTCTCCCTTCCTCTCTGAAATCAATAAAAATATATTTTAAAAAACACACAACAATAGCCCTTTCGGGTCCTTAATGATTTTGAGAGTGTGAAGATTTGAGAACTGCTGCTTGTGCCTATGAAACAAGAGAGAACGGAGTTCAACGGAAATACTGCCTGAGAGAAAGTGACAGGTAACGGAGGCCCAGGGTGAACCAGCCAGAGAAAAAGGGAAGGAACTGTGTGTGGTCAGAGGGAACAGCACATGCAAAGAGGAAGAAGGTAAGAGGTGCCGTCGAAGGGGTGAAATGAACACATAGACTTAGTTTGTTCTCGTCGCAGGCTGGGCTCGGACACTCACCTTCCCATGGAGCCCGGCCTGGGGTAGGGGTTTCCATAAACAGACGTGCAACTTGAAATGGTGATGAACGCCATGAGCGAGAGGAGAGGGGTGTGATTTTAGACTGCAGGTGGAATCGGGAGGTTTTTCTAGGAAGAGGAGCGTAAAGCCCAGAACTGAGAGGGGAGAAGGAATAGGTGGGAGAGCAGGGCAAAGAGTACCAAGGCAGAGGGAACAGCACTGGGGGTGGCTCTGAGGCTGGGCAGCTCGTGTGGCTGGGTTTGAAGGGGCAGGGAAACGGGGGCACGAGTAATGTCGAGGAGTGGAGCAGGGGCCGGCTCAGTGGGCCACGTGGGGAGAAGTTTGGGTTTATTCTCAGCCCGTGAGGGGCTACCCAGGAATTCCCAGCTGGGGAGGGACGGGATCTTCCCTGGGTGCCAACAGCGCCCTCTGTCTGTGGTGCAGGGAAAGACTGAGGGTCAAAGCCGGGGCCCAGGGATGGGGCAATGTCAGTGTCCAAGTCAGAGATGGTGGCGGCTCAGGCCCACGAGGAGCAGTGGAGGCGGAGAGGAGCGAACGGCTTCAGCACAATGACAAGTGTCAGCGTGGACGTGGAGAACTCGGAACTCTGGGATTCTGCTGGCGGGACGGTGCGGTCACTTCAGAAAACAGCCTGGCAGATCCCCAAGAGGTAAACACAGATCTACCGCACTGCCCGCAGTCCCCGTCCTCGGCATGGACACTAGAGAAATGACAGCGTGTGGCCACACAAATATCTGAGCGTGAATGTTCACGGCGGCGTGGCTCATAAGAACCCTAACATGGGAGCAACCCGAATGCCCGTCCTCTGATGAGGGATAAGCCAAAGGCGGTCTGGTCTGTCCAGGCAGCAGGATATGATTCGGCCACAAAAAGGAAGGCGTGCGTGAGGGATGCGACCTCAGGGACGAACCTGGAGAGCGTTACGCCCGCGAGAGAAGCCAGACACAGAAGAACACAGAGTGTAGGGTCCCATTGACAGGAAACTGTCCAGATCAGGCAACTCAGACCCGAGGCACCTCAGTGGCTGCCTTGGGAGGAGGGAGCTAAGGGATTTCCTACTGGGGATGACCATGTTCTAAAATCGATTGTGGGGATGGTTGTAAAGCTCGGTGAATATATATATACTAGAGGCCCGATGCACAAAATTCATGCAAGGGTGGGACTTCCTTCCCCCGGCTGCCGGCACCGGCTTCCCTCTGGCACCCGGGACCCAGCTTCCCTTGCAGCCCCGGATTCATCCAGAAGGTCGTCCAGAAGGATGTCCGGAAGGACGTCCGGTCTAATTAGCATATTATGCTTTTATTATTATAGATATATACATTTTTAAAAATATATTTTTTATTGATTACAGAGAGGAAGAGAGAGGGATAGAGAGATAGAAACATCAATGATGAGAGAGAATCATTGATCGGCTGCCTCCTGCACACCCCCTACTGGGGACCGAGCCCGCAACCCGGGCATGTGCCCTTGACTGGAATCGAACCCGGGCCCCTTCAGTCCACAGGCCGACGCTCTATCACTGAGCCAAACCAGCCAGGGCACATGGTGAATATATTAAAACCCACTGAATTGTATGGCATAAGTGGGTGAATTGTACGACGTGTAAATTCTATCTCAGTTACAAGCTTTTGAAAATTTGCTTTTGAGGGTATGTTTTGGCGGGGAAACTGCTTCGGTCTCGGTGATGGCTGGGCATGGGGCCTGCGGGGGAGGGAGGTGTCTGGACTGTTTGGGAGGATGGCGTGGATAACTGATCCACAGAGGGGCCTTCCGCCCGCAGCATTTGCAGAATGCACTGTGCAAGCTTCCTGTCCAGAGGAAATGCTCCATAAATATGAATGACTATGGCTATCATTACGGTGATCCTGTTGAAACCGGAATCCAATCCCATCGCTTCTCTGCTCAGAACCCTCCCCGGGCTCCCCTCCTGCTCAGAGTAAAAGCAAAGTCCTCACATGGCCCCCAAGGCCTTGTAAGATGACCCCCTCGCCCGTCCACTTCCTCTCTGAACCTCAGCTCCTACCCTCTCTACCCCGCTATTCACGGGCTGCAGCCATACTGGCCTCCTCCACGCTCCTCTCAGATTCCAAACCCAGTCCCACTCCAGGGCCTTCGCCCTGGCTGTTCCCTCTTCTTCAATATCCACATGGCTTCTCCCACACCTCCTTTATTTTTTAAAATATGTTCTTATTGATTTTTGTTTGTTTTAGAGAGAGAGGAAGGGAGAGGGATAGAGAGATACAAACATCGATGAGAGAGAAACATCAATGGCCTGCCTCCTGCACGTCCCCTACTGAGGATCGAGCCCACAACCTGGGCATGTGCCCTGACCGGGAACTGAACCGACTACCTCTTGGTTCAGAGGTCAACGCTAAACCACGGAACCGCACCAGCCAGGCCCTCACCTCCTTCATGTTGAAGCGCAGATGTCACCTCCTCAGGGAAGCCCTCCTGATGACCTTCCTAACACCCCCATCCCCACAGCCCCATCTCGCCTCCGGGTCCCTCTTGGCTCTCCATCGCCACGTGACACGTTGGCTCTCTCGCCGGATCGAGCCCACACCTGGGCATGTGCCCTGACCGGGAACTGAACCGACTACCTCTTGGTTCAGAGGTCAACGCTAAACCACTGAACCGCACCAGCCAGGCCCTCAGCTCCTTCATGTTGAAGCGCAGATGTCACCTCCTCAGTGAAGCCCTCCAGATTACCTTACTAACACCCGCATCCCCACAGCCCCATCTCGCCTCCGGGTCCCTCTTGGCTCTCCATCGCCACGTGACACGTTGGCTCTCTCGCCCCTTTGCTTGGCTGTTGCCATCCCTCCCAGGAGAGCCCCGTAAGGACCCAGCTCTGCTTCTCTGTCCCGGCCCTCCTCCCGGCGCCTTCTAGAGCTTCTGGCACGGGAAGTACGTGCTGAACGAAGGAAGGAATCCAGGGCCATGGCCTGTTGATGCATTTGCTGCTGGATGACAGCCATGGCCCCTCCCCAGGCAGCTGGGTGTCGCCTACTTGGCACGAGCGAGTGGGGTGTCATGGGGGTGCAGGAGGCACACCCTGGGCTTCTGGAGGAGCCGGTGCCATGGGGGCTTGGCCATGAGGGATCAGGGGGAGGCTGAGGCCGGGGGTGGGGAGTGGAGAAGGGAGGCATTCCAGGCCCTGGGGATGGAGCACAAAGGCCTGGAGGTGAGAAACAGCGTGGGGTGTCCAGGCAACTTCCCCCGGCCCCACCCACTGCCTCTCCAGCCCAGTGGCTGGGGCCCAAGCCTCACAGTCATGGCCAACTCCTGTGTCGTTCCCACACCCCCACGCCCCGCTCTCAGCTGGTTCTGCTTTCAAAACATCCCCGGAGCCTGCACACCCCGCCCCCACCCCCGCTCACCTCCTCTGCCCCCATCGCTGCTGGGACTGGGGCAGTAGGTCTCCCTGCTAGTCACACACACGTACCCCTCTCGCCCTGGCTGGGCTCAGTGGTTAGAGCGCCGTCCCCATACGCCGAGGTTGCAGGTTCAATCCCCCGCTCAGGGCACACGCGGGAGTCCACACACGAATGCATCAGTGAGTGCAACAGCAAGTGGATGTCTCTCCCTCCATCCCTCTTTCTCTGAAATCAGTCAACAAAAAACAAAACAACGGAAAACACCCCCTCCGGTCGCTGCCTCTTGTTGCCAAAGCAACCAGGAAAGCCTTTCAGCATCTCTGTCCGGCCACACCCCGCCCCTGCCCCAGCCGTCCACAGCTCCCATCTCACTGCCCTTCGGGGCCCACGAGGCCCTAAACCAGCGGTTCTCAACCTTCTGGCCCTTTAAATACAGTTCCTCATGCTGTGACCCAACCATAACATTATTTTCGTTGCTACTTCGTAACTGTCATGTTGCTACTGTGATGAATCGTCATGTAAATATCTGATATGCAGGATGGTCTTAGGCGACCCCTGTGAAAGGGTCGTTCCACTGCCAAAGGGGTCGCGACCCACAGGTTGAGAACCGCTGCCCTAAATGGTTCCATTTACTACTTCTCAGCCCTCATCTCTGGCCCTCTCCCCCCCTCCCCTCCCTCCGCAGGCTTCCCTCCTGTTCCTTGAACACACTGTGTAAGCGGGAGCCTGCCCTAGGGAATGGCCTTTCCCTGTCCTGTCCCCACCTGGCTGACCTCGTCCCCACCTGGCTGACCCCGTCCCACCTGGCTGACCTCGTCCCCACCTGGCTGACCTCATCCCCACCTGGCTGACCCCATCCCCACCTGGCTGACCCCGTCCCACCTGGCCGACCTCATCCCCACCTGGCTGACCTCATCCCCACCTGGCTGACCTCATCCCCACCTGGCTGACCTCATCCCCACCTGGCTGACCTCATCCCCACCTGGCTGACCTCATCCCCACCTGGCTGACCTCATCCCCACCTGGCTGACCTCATCCCCACCTGGCTGACCTCATCCCCACCTGGCTGACCTCATCCCCACCTGGCTGACCTCATCCCCACCTGGCTGACCTCATCCCCACCTGGCTGACCTCATCCCCACCTGGCTGACCTCATCCCCACCTGGCTGACCTCATCCCCACCTGGCTGACCTCATCCCCACCTGGCTGACCTCATCCCCACCTGGCTGACCTCATCCCCACCTGGCTGACCTCATCCCCACCTGGCTGACCTCATCCCCACCTGGCTGACCTCATCCCCACCTGGCTGACCTCATCCCCACCTGGCTGACCTCATCCCCACCTGGCTGACCTCATCCCCACCTGGCTGACCTCATCCCCACCTGGCTGACCTCATCCCCACCTGGCTGACCTCATCCCCACCTGGCTGACCTCATCCCCACCTGGCTGACCTCATCCCCACCTGGCTGACCTCATCCCCACCTGGCTGACCTCATCCCCACCTGGCTGACCTCATCCCCACCTGGCTGACCTCATCCCCACCTGGCTGACCTCATCCCCACCTGGCTGACCTCATCCCCACCTGGCTGACCTCATCCCCACCTGGCTGACCTCATCCCCACCTGGCTGACCTCATCCCCACCTGGCTGACCTCATCCCCACCTGGCTGACCTCATCCCCACCTGGCTGACCTCATCCCCACCTGGCTGACCTCATCCCCACCTGGCTGACCTCATCCCCACCTGGCTGACCTCATCCCCACCTGGCTGACCTCATCCCCACCTGGCTGACCTCATCCCCACCTGGCTGACCTCATCCCCACCTGGCTGACCTCATCCCCACCTGGCTGACCTCATCCCCACCTGGCTGACCTCATCCCCACCTGGCTGACCTCATCCCCACCTGGCTGACCTCATCCCCACCTGGCTGACCTCATCCCCACCTGGCTGACCTCATCCCCACCTGGCTGACCTCATCCCCACCTGGCTGACCTCATCCCCACCTGGCTGACCTCATCCCCACCTGGCTGACCTCATCCCCACCTGGCTGACCTCATCCCCACCTGGCTGACCTCATCCCCACCTGGCTGACCTCATCCCCACCTGGCTGACCTCATCCCCACCTGGCTGACCTCATCCCCACCTGGCTGACCTCATCCCCACCTGGCTGACCTCATCCCCACCTGGCTGACCTCGTCCCCACCTGGCTGACCTCGGGCTGCAAGTAGCCCC